TCCTGACTTCATGTTTCGCGAATAGTTGGCTGTTTCAGTGAATCCACGCTAGTTTGTTTGGATTTTGAGCAAGGTTTTACCGTGTATATGCGTCCACTTTTGCTTTCCTCGCCTCTCATCTACTACGTCCCCCCCCCCCCCCTACTCGATGTTTATACATAAGGCGTAGCCACGATTTGACGGTGAAACCTCGATTATGAGGAGGATTCCGTAATGGATGATGTTGCAATTGAAAAACCGGGCGCTGCTATAGTCAACGTATGCTACCCAGTTCATAAGACCGCTTAGCTCAGTGGTAGAGCGTGTGATTCCAGTGCTTGCTGCTTACGTAAGCGGTGTCCACAAGGCCATCCGTTCAACTCGGGTAGTGGTCAACCTTTTTGTAAGTGTAGTGGAAATCCATATAAGTTGTCGCATGTGCAGACAACCACAGTCAACGCTTACAAAGACTTGCTTGATGAAATCAATCAATGCAGGTGGCTGATAGCCCGTCACCTATGTTCAAATTCTTTGATGCATGGGAGGTGTTTAGACCACTGGAGCTCATGAACCCCAGCTTTTTTGTGGGTCAACACTGGCACGCAATCCAGCAATCATGCACTTCATGAACTCCAGAAAGTCACGAACAATCCGAGCCTGTAGGTTCAAACGAGTTGACGATTAAGTTCGTTTCTGGCGGCTGTATATAGAGGTTGAACTTTCGCTCGTGTCACTCTTTTATCGGTGTAATTGCTTTGTTCTTGTAATTTCCAGTAATCACATCTCGCTTTGGTATATATCTTTAAATATAAGTCTTATGAATTATCAAGTCTCGAGTTAAGGGAACCCACTGAGATAGTTGAAATTTGACCATCAGCCAGAGTACGACTTTACTCCAGAATTGTACAGCGCTAGGCATCTTGAAGGTCACATGACCAGATCAATAGTAGCTTTCGTTTGTACTCAGCGTGCCACATTGATCCCCACGTTATGACTCCAACACCACGCCCAGATAATAGTCAACATTCGACCACGATGACCTACCAGTTGAATCTACCAGCAGGTGCGCATTTACATACGCTAGCTTTTAGCATGACGCGAATGTGATTGTTAATTGTGCTCGTGGCCAAATTTGAATGTGGCTACACAGAGTTGACCCATAACATCATGATTAACCAATTGCGGGTGGTTGACCGGCGCCGTGCCATGTCCAAGCAAGCATTTGAAGCTTGTGTCACTACATATGCCCATCCCATCATAGTCGAAGACTTTTGGGAGGCAGATGTGGTTCGAACCTATGCACCGAGGTTCATTCATTTTCAGGTAAGTGGCGTGGTCCGCCATACGAGTCTTACTCAAGTGGCCTTAGGCAGAGAGGGCTCGCACAGTTGGTGGACGTCCATTTAAGGCCGCTACCATCCAAGAATGGTGTCGCTGTCTAGTTTTCAACATTCAAGAGTATGCACATGATCAAGGGGGAAGAAAATGTGGCCACGAGCTGCTGAAGTCCGAAGGTCTGTTCACAGTGATTCTAGATCAAGCTCGCCTAGGTTTGTTCTTGTCTTGATGTGCTTGTGATAGACTAACACCTGCTATAGTGATAAACCACAATCCTACCGATTAGCTGCGCTAGGATTGTATGACGGGTACAAAATTTATAAGTCTGATTAAACCAATTAAATGCGTGGCCTGTGCAATCCACCAAATTCGTTTAAATGGCATACTAACTAGACCGTAGGTAAGCTGTGCTAACACTCGCTAACACGGGAAATCACTTGTTTTTTTAACTTCCACTCGCCCACCACCAAGTTGCTCCGCACTACACTCGTCGCAAACCACAGTGTGGCGCTTCGGTCCCTGATCCTTACTAATATTCCTCTCACACCCATGTTCTGACATACGCACCGCACGTCCCTCTACGGTTAAGAGCTCTCTACCGACACTGTATATTTGTTGTACAACTTGGACAAACCACGCCCTTTGACTCACTGCTGAAAGGTATGGCAACTTCTATTTGTTGCTCCAGGCCGCTGACGCTTCCCTGGAGAGAACAGTAAGATACAGCTGGCAAGCTCATTCTCCATGGATTTACCTCTGCTCACAATTCTGCTCTTCCTACAATAGGATCGATGTTTCGAACGAAGTGAGCGCACCCTACATTACGCCGATCTCCCCAATGAAACGCGCTGGGCGCTTAAAGGGTCTGCGTTGCCGTAGGGCGTGAGTCGAGTTTGACTTTCCAACCCATCCTCTACGTCACTGCAGGTCAACCAAGCGCCCACAACCCTGTTTTTCGATGTCGAAGCGCCGAGTCGTACTGCGTTCTGTGTATGTTTCTGGTTCGTGCGTGCGTTTCTCTCAGCGAAGAAAATATCTAAAACTCGTACTGGTATCATGTGTAGTGTAGCCTTTTCTCGTGTCTTCAGCAAACCCCGTGTTCGATCACCTCTTGCTCAGGCCCTCATTTATAGCCTGGGGTTCGTAGCCCAAGGTTCGGATCTGTGAGTACCACTGGCTGCCTTCTGAGATAAAACATACTTATGAAAACACGTCCGACGTGATGAAGAGATGTCTTTTATAGATAAAACGACAATATATCGGGTTCGCTATGAAACTCGATACGTCCGAGCCTCGGATGACAACTGACATTTGAACCCTTCACCTATTCCCCTAGTTCTTGGCTTGATTGCCATCATTGCGATCCAGCGTGCGATCCACAAGATTCTGATCTCCGTCTTCATCTCGCGCGAGTTCAAACACGACGAGACCAACCGCGCATGGTGGACTGGTCAGTGGTACGGTCGCGGTCTAGGCACGCACGTCATGTCGCAGCCCGCTCGCGAGTACGTTGTCAAGATCGTCGAGCTGTCGCTCTGGAGTGGCGACTTTTTGCTTGGACATTTCTTGTTGTTCTTCCTGTCGGTGCCCACCATTATCCCATATGCGGACCAAATACACGCGACTGGTCTTTGTAAGTCCACTGGGTCACACATCGCCTGCTTTAACTAACGGTTCCCTTATAGTCTGGCTCCGTCCATCCAAACAAATCCGCGCGCCGCTGTACTCGATCAAACAAAAGAGGCAACGGCGGGGGATCGTCGTCAAGTTCACCTTCGTGTTTTTGGTGGCATTGATTATCTTTGTTGCTCTAATTGCTTTGCGTACGTCGATTTCACCCTTTGTTCTAGCCTTGTGCTCATCCCGTTTTTCCACAGCTGCGATCTTCCACAACAGTTTGAAGATGAACTGTGCGGTTTGTAAATCGATTTGAGGGGGAGCACTTGTTTTTTCATTAGCTCACGACTTGTTACGAAGCGCACTCTAGACTTTTTCCTATGCCAACTATCCATTCTCGATTCTCTAACATTTGTATACCAAAAACATACCCCTCAATGCCTTGGTCTAAGATTATATCGTGGAGCCAATCCAGCATGCGCATAAGAATCATGACTACCACCACGGCCACGACCACGACCACGACCTCGACCACGGCTGCCTGCATTCGCAGGATGAGTACTATGGCCAGGAGTATTGTTACTGTTTCGACCATAGCCGCGACCATAACCACGCTGAGTTAGTCTAGTAGCTGCACGCTGCGCTTTTGCCTCTGCATCTTCAATTCGGCGACGCTTTGCTGGCTCCCGAGCAACCATGTCGTTCACTGCTTTGCCCCGACCCTCCCTGACACCCTGGACAGCGTTGAAAAGAGACCGAGTAGTTTGGACGGATGAACCCCAGCGAACAAAACCAGGCTTGGAGGTTGAGACTGCTGTTGCGTGTCGATCCTCTTTGCCCATCCACATGAGAAATGCAACGCCGGGGTTCTTGCTGAAATCCGCTGCAATCCCTAGATCAGCCCAGAAGAAGCAGCCACCAGTATGAGCAGCAAGCTCGACCGCATCGTCTTCAACCAGATCGCCGTTTTCACGAGTCGTGAGCCACATCCCAACAGTTGCTGGCCCAATGTCACGGTCAACGTGTACCGAATTAGCAAAGTTCTTGTTCGATCATGTAATGTTAGATGCTGGGATCTTGGAGGAGTCAATAGGGGCCTAAAATAGCAAGTAAAATATCGACGACCATATTGGCAGATGATTCTGGAGGCCAATCACTCCCTTTACGTTGAAAACTAGCTCTTTATTTTAAACACCACGAATTACAATCCTGCAAAGGGCCCGATTGCTTGGTTGTTGTTACGAAACTCAAAAGCATCAGGATACTGACAGTAGTATTTCATATCTCATTTGACTCCTTCTCAACATCGTAAAGCACCAACTGTGCCGCTTTCACCAGAGTGGCAGGATCATCAGCCTAATATGAATCTATTAGTACCCATGCGCCTTCTAGGTTCTATACTCACTGAGCTCCTCCGGATCTTATGGCCAGAATTGTACGTGCCAGGGAAGTATTGCTCTTCCCAAGCACGGAAATATTGTGAAGTACTAGAACAATATCCGTGAGTGACTCAGTTCAGGTGGTCTTTTTTTGCAATTTTTAATAGCTTACTGGGGTGCTTCAAGTCCCTCTACTGCACGACGCCTCTCAGTATCTACGGTGCGGCGGCGAGCAATGGGGTGGGGTGCACACATGTTGTGGGAGGTGAGCGGAAAGGAGAATGGGATCACACCCTTATATGGACTAGCCACGTGCCACGAGAAGGCCTTCCCAAGATCACGCAGAGATTTGGGGTACGGAGCCTTTTATAGAATGCATGATACTGGTATCATTGGGTGATCGCTGCGTGTTGCGTAAAGCCACCAGGTCCCGCCCAAATTGAAGTTGATATAAGAACTCGCCGTCAGAGTAACCCTCAGCCTGAGCGCCGGGCTTCGATATCGTCGAGGGGTATTTGAGTACAAGGTGGGACAGCGGGTTTTGCCCTGCGGTATATATGAGTTCCTTTGCCATTTGCACCCTACCGCATACATGCTCTCACTCCTCCTCTTATCTGTTTTGGTTATAGATCGCATATCCAGACCGTCGCCTACCCATTTTACAGACCCATGAGTTCCTGTGAAACATCACGAATTACAATCCTGTGAAGAGTTTGATTGCTGGGTCGTTGTTACGCACCTCAAGCATCAGGATACGACAAATACAGAACAGAGTACAAATCGAGTACAGGGCAATGAATGAATAAACATCATGATAAAAACAGCACACGTTGGAGTGGATTCTGAGAGGGCGATAAAAATTGATCAAACTAGAGGAGCGAATTCAGAGCCTAGAGTGGAAAAGCCAGGAAAATTAGCCAGGCCATTGTCTTGAGGTAAAGTGGTTGATGTCGAGGGAAAAGAGAGCGTGCTCGTGGTAGAAGGCCAAGTAGCAGACTCGTTTTCCGAGGTGTTGTCAAAGACTGGTTTGCCGTGAGCCTGCCGAATGATACGCTCGCGTT